TTGTCTAGGAACCCAAGGCCTGCCTGGCGGCACCAGCTGGCCATGTTTATCTCCTATCTCTGGACCATCTCTTAACTTCTCCAGATCCTTTTTAAAATGTGGAGCCCAAAACTGCACGTGCTACTCTAATTGAGGCCTTACTGGTGCTGAGTAGAGTCGCTATCACCTCCTGTGTCTTGCACCTAATGTTGTTATTGATGCAGACTAAAACTGTGTTTGCCTCTTGTGTGGCTGTATCTCGCTGCAGACTTTATTGAGTCTGTGATCCACCAAGACTTCTAGATCCTTTTCTGTAGTGCTGCTATCCAGCCGGGTGTCTCATGTTCTGTAGTTATGTTTGTGATTATTCTTCCTGAGGTGTAGTACCTTGCATGTTTGCTCTGGCTCAGCTTTCCAATCTGTCGAGATATTTCTGAATTGTGCTTCTGTCCTTTGGCCACATTTGCTCTCTGACCCACCAGCTTGGGGCATTACAATAGCCAGTAGGTTGGGTCCTACCCTTTCAGACCTCATCAGCTCCTCCAGCAGGGACTGGAGTGTGCATCCCCTCCTGGGGCTGGGTGGAGGCCTCTGGGCCCAGTGCTGCAGCCACATGGGCAAACTTACCATGCTGAAGCTGGTGAGGCCAGGGTACCTGCTGTGCAGGGATGTAGTTGATTCACTGCCCCCAACCCCAGTCTATCACCTCTGCTGCAGGGTCAGTGGCAGGATAGGTTGGGTGGTCTCCAGGTACTCACACTGACTCTTTCCCTGCTCCAAGGTCCTCTTCAGGCTCTAGAAAAGCTGTGAACAACAGCAGAAGTACAAGTGCTGTCAATCTGCAGCTTTAAGTATACAATGCAGCACTGGTTACACTTAGTTAATTCCCTCTGATGCAGAGTTTCCAGTTGCAGGTCCAATATCAATACATCCATTAATTCTACTGGCAGCCTCTCAGGCTTAAGCAAATGAGTTGCTTTGTAAAGCACTTTGAAGTCTATTGATAAAAATGCTGTCAAAGAATTAAGTATTTTTATTATTATTTTTAGTTGCAGTATGTCCATATTAGCAGTTTTCACAATGTTGTGAATTTGTAGCAGCATCCCTTTCAGTGTCGGATAAGTGGTTAGTGCCTCTTCTGTAAGCAAGTGTCAAAAGAAAGAGCTTGCGATCCTTTGTCCCAAGCTGCAAACCACATAATCTTTTGCCAAAGTGGCCAGGTAGATCCCTGGGTCCTCTTTAATTCCCAAGCTAGAAAGAGAAGGCCTGGGAGGGCTGAGGCAGCTGATTGTCAGTCTGGCTGATGCAGCAGAGGTATTGAGCCCCTGAATAGCTGCTCTTGGAACTTAGGTTTTATGCTGTTCCATCATCCATTTCCCATCATTTTGTGGGGTCTGTGAATTTGCCTGCTCTTACAGTTTGAAAATAATGTGCTCAAATTTGGGGATCATAAAAGGTGACCAGTTGCCTAATGGTTCGTGTCAAGTATAAGCAATTGTCCCATTTGTTTCCATTTTTTTCTGTACTGAGACTTGTGAGATGCATTTCTATAGAATAGCATCCACAAACATGAAAATAATGAGAAAATGCATTTTCTGTTTTTCTTGATGTTGGTGATATTATAAAGTGCTTTAAAAAGAACTATATTTCATTACTGAATTGGTTTCTGTCACCCCATGGATATTTGATTTTAAAGATTGTGAGGTATACAAGGGAACCACTTCTACAGTATCCCTGGGCATTTATAAGAATCATTTGTTATTTATACCCACAAATCCCCCATTTAAATCCTCTGGATAGGTGAGTTTCATTGCTGAAACACCAGTACCAAGAAAGAAAGCAGTTCAATCCCCAGTCAAAAAACACTTGTTTCCTAGGGGCTGTCTAATCTCAAGACTATAACATAACTAAACCGTGTATTCTCAAA